ACGTACTACTACTACTACTTAGATTCTCAAGCTTTCATCCCGGAAGCAAAGGCTCGTAAGTACAGTAAGTAGTGAAACCTAACCCCCCTCCCCAAGCTAGTAGTAGTAGCGGTAGTACTACGCACTTTACTCCCACGGGGCAAGTAAGGGGTAAGTTTTTCCAGCCTCCGCGGTCCGCGGCAAGGATAATGAATATGCTTGATAGGTAGTACCCTTACTCCGTGCGGAATTGGTACGATTAGGTCGGTACCGGTATCAGAAAGCCAATATATCAGAAAGCCAATATATCAAAAAGCCAATATATTTATGTATATATATATATATTCCTAACCCGACCTAACCGACCTAACCTACTTGAAAATAAATAAAAAGCAGGTAAGGGGGGTTTAGTGAAACGGTGGCTGATTGGATCATCCGACAACGATCTCTTTTCGAAGAACGGTCTCGAGAGGTTGGGCATGGCTAGTAAGTAAGTTCTACGTAAGTAGATCTGATCATTTTCAGTCCATACCTACTGTATCTAAGATCGGATAGATTTACCCCCCCCCTTGACTTAAATCATCCCAACAATGCCGATTTTATCGATAGATTTAACGTTTTTAAGAGTCATTTTTTCATTTTTTGATTTATTTTTTTCAACGAGAAGATCACTACTGAAATGGTACCATTCCTATCAGTTAGATCGACATTTCATCAAATCAAGTCGGGCCGTTTTTCTTTCTTTTTTTTCCCCCTTTCCTTACGAAAAGACTACCTATCCTGAGCGAGACCATCATAGAGACCATCTCCGAGCGTTTCGGGACCTTCCCCAGGCCGTCCCCGAAGACTTGTATAAGTAAGCAAACAAGTATACCTACATACGTGCTCTCTTCCCTCCCCCTCCTCCCGTGCCCCAATCGATTCCGAAAGGGAGCGTACCGCGGCGAAGGAACGAAACCTCGCTGAGCCCGATCGGTTTCGCAACATTCAATCAGCGAAAGCGTCTAGCGTTCGTAAAAGTGGTAGCGATACCAAAGTTTTTTTTTTTTTTTTATTTTTTAAAAAAAAAGAACAAAAGTAGAAAGTAAAAGAAAAG